GGGACTCCAGGATCATGACCTGAGCCGAAGGCAGTCGCTCAACCAACTGAGCCAGCCAGGCGCCCTCGGTGGCACTTCTGAAATGTTTACAGAGAGCTTGTTAGGGGGGTGCTCCGGTAGGGGGGTGCTCCGGCTGCACTCTGCCATCCAAACCCCGGCCATGGCCCTGAGTACCGTGGCGGCGGGTGTGTTGGAAGGAAGGTGCTGGAGACTCGGCCGGGGACTGGGGACCTGGGAATGAGGGCGGGCAGAGGGCGTGTCTTTCTCTGGCATCTGCTTGGCGAAGTCACTTGTTCTATACAGCCAGGTTCTGCCCACCTACGACAGCCTGGATGAGCCGTCGGTGAAAACCATGAGCTCCATATTCGCCTGCTCCCTCAACGTGGTCACTGCCTTCTACGTCACGGTAGGCGCCCTTTTACACCGCCCCCTCCCCTCCTGCGTCAGGAACGGGCTCGGCTCTCGGCCCCGGCTCTCGGCCCCACTGCAGGCTTGCCCATTGCTCCTTTCCCATCCCGGGACTGGTGGCCACGGGGCAGACCTGCCCCTCCGTATCGCTCCCATCCCGGGGCCCTGCGGGCACCTCAGCATGGACTGCTCCCACATCACACTGGCTGGGAGTCTCTTCTGACTTCTTCTCCGAGACCTCTGGTCATCTGCTGTGGAAAGGGGCACGTCTGTTTACAGAAACTGGGGAGTATAAAATAGTGGAGGAAGAAAATAATCTTCGATTCTGGCCCACAGTGCAGTTACAGTTAACATTTTGGTGGATTTTTCTTCCGGTTCTCATGTTCCCATTTGTTCTGTTTTTCTACACTGCAAGTAAAATGCGCAGTACGCTGAGATTCTAGCTTGTTTCCCCGAGCTCCATGGCATCTGCATTCTTGTTAGTTTCTGCAGGTGGTGCACGCACTTTGTTGTCCCTGTGGTGGGGCCGTCCACCGTGAGCACGGTTTTCCCCGTGGTCCCTGGGTTTGGATGTTGCCCCACAGGAAGATCGGCCGCTCTGCGGGGCTCGTGGGGCTCGCGGGGCATCCTGAGACTTCCTTTCCACGCGGTAGCTCACTGCCCTGGTGCCTGTTGTCCGCACGGAAAGTGTATTGGACCCTCCCTGACGGCGGAGCCTTCCGGCTGTGGGCGTGCGGTTTACAGGCCAGCAGTCCCGTGGGAGGCGTGGTCTTGCTGAAGCTGCTCATGGGGTGGCCTGTGGGCTGTCTCCGGGACCGTGCGCCCCCCACTGTCGCCCTGCCGCAGGTTGGCTGCTTTGGCTATGTGAGCTTCACCGAGGCCACCGCAGGCAACGTGCTGATGCACTTTCCCTCCAACCTGGTGACGGAGATGATGCGTGTGGGCTTCATGATGTCCGTGGCCGTGGGCTTCCCCATGATGATCCTGCCGTGTCGACAGGCCTTGAACACGCTGCTTTTCGAGCAGCAGGTAAGATTCTTAAGGCCCTTCAGGCGACACTTCACTAGGAAGATGTTACATTGCTGATCTTAATTATGTCCTCTTCTGTTGCCTTGTGCTAGTTCTTTAGTTTTCTGGGCTGTGGCAGGGGGAGCTTTTCCTAGTTAAAAATGGAAAAGCTTCAGTTAAAGTGAAATCTTTTAATAGGGGTTTTTTTTAAAAACCAACTTTGGGCTCCTAATCTCAGCTGGTCCGCCCGAGACCCCCTGAGCGCCAACCCTGTTCCCCCGTGCGGTCCCATTTCCCCTCCAGCAAGATGAAAGAAACTCTCCTGAACCAGGAGAAACTCGCCAAACTGCAAGCACAAGTGCGCATTCGTGGGAAAGGAACCGCTCGCCGAAAGAAGAAGGTGGTTCATAGAACGGCTACAGCAGATGATAAAAAACTTCAGTTCTCCTTAAAGAAGTTAGGGGTAAACAATATCTCTGGTATTGAAGAAGTGAATATGTTCACAAACCAAGGAACAGTGATCCACTTTAACAACCCCAAAGTTCAGGCATCACTGGCAGCGAACACTTTCCCCATTACAGGCCGTGCTGAGACAAAGCAGCTGACAGAAATGCTACCCAGTATCTTAAACCAACTTGGTGCAGACAGTCTGACTAGTTGAAGAAGACTGGCTGAAGCTCTGCCCAAACAATCTGTGGATGGAAAAGCACCACTTGCTACTGGAGAGGATGATGATGATGAAGTTCCAGATCTTGTGGAGCATTTTGATGAAGCTTCCAAGAATGAAGCAAACTGAATTGAGTCAACTTCTGAAGAACATAAAACTTGAAGAAGTTACTGGGAGCTGCTATTTTATATTATGACTGCTTTTTAAAATTTTGTTCGTGGATCTGATAAAATCTAGATCTCTAA